AAGTAATGTCTGATACATAGACTTATCCAGCATATGTTTTAAACTAGTCTTGGTGTATACAGAAATTGAATATTACTGATATAATTGATTGCTATAACAAGAAGTGTGTTTATCTGTTACTTGAAGTGCCAGAGTTGAGATCAAAGTGATTAACTTGATAACAATCACCTTTCTATTATGTTCCATAACTAACAATAAAGTTTAAAATGAAAAGAGTGTGAGGAATACAAAACCAACACGAAGAAGCAAACGTCACTTTCGCCAATCTGAGCGATAACTGATTCTTGTTTGGCTTTCAGCCTGTTTATCAAATGAAGATGGTAACCCTATTTCGTGGAAGAGTGATTCTCAGAACTGTTCCACCAAACGTTTTGTTCTGGCAACAAATAGCGTATGTGACAATAGCATAAGGTTTCTAGTGCAACTTAACAACAATATGTGACATTACTAATCCAAATACAGAGCAGAAAACCTTCAAAAATTAAAATTAAGTGTCCTGCAAATAATGTTTATTTTGGAACACTGATTATTTACCATTTTTACTTCCTTGTACGAAGTAAAAAGGAAGTATTGTAATCGCGAAAAATTTCGGGTATTGTATTTCAACAAAAATATCCATTTTGACCAATATCGAATGCAATTTAACAATAATTTTGCATGACATCTGTACATAAAGACAGAATAAAGGATTTTTTCTCCCAAACAAAAATTATGAAACTCATTTTAAATGAATTCTGAAGAGAATTTTTCGTAGTGTCTGTGCATATGTACGTAAGTATGTATCTCGCATAACTCAAAAACAAATAGCCTCAAAACATTGAAATCTTGTATATATGACTGCTACAATATGTAGATGTGCACCTCCTATTTTGGTTGCAATCAGCACACCAAAAGTTATAAATATATATATATTTATAATATATCTGTTACTCGGCTCAGTAATCTCAGTTTCTTCATTCTTATATGTTTGTAAATTGTGCATTTTGTGCATTAAAAATGATTGAATTGCGTTCTTCTTGTCTTCTAGGTTTTTATGCCTTTAGTTAATCTGCATGCAATATTTGTAGAATTATCAACAATTTAAAAGTTGTTTAAGTGCAGTTAAGCCTAATCATTCTTACGATTTCAACCATATTTGTTTACATTTGAAACTTGGCAAAATGATGGATTTGTTGCCAATCTAAGGAAACTAAGCTTCACAATAACAAAGATAACGCTTTCTTTTATTATTGCGAATTAAATCATGCTTAATCCATTCTGGAATTTATTCGAGGAAATAAGTGTTTAAGATTTACTTTATAATTTTTAACATAGATATTTTGAGTTTTTTATGTATTTTTGCCTTGTCACGAAGTGAGAACTGAATTAATTGAATGAGAAATACTGAATTGTCTGTGAAATTTGTTTTATTTTTTTGTTTGTTTGCTTAGTTTTTTTTAAGCATCGTTTTAGATTTATTATAGTACTTATTAGAATATGTGGCAATGATTAGATAATTCTTTAGATGATATAAATTTTGTGCATTCTGAGTTATAAAATGAAATGAGGAACTGGTAACATCGTGCAAATTCATCTTGGTTTCAAGTAGTTATAAAATGAATGAAACGTAACGTTGTTAAGTGAAAACTAGTGCCAGAGTGCCGCTATGGAAACAAATATAGTAAAATTTAAAGAGTGCATTTATTCTATTGTGGTTTATGCACTATCGATGGAGTAGATTTATTTCAATCCAATAAGTTCAAACAAAATGCAAGAAAAATGCATAGAATTTAATATTCCATACAAGGAAGTCATGTGGTGTACACATGAGGTTTTTACAAAATGTTTTCGCAGACAGGAGCAGTATTTTTTTTTTTTTTTTTTTTTTACTTTCCTACACTAAGAAATGAAAAATTTTAAAAACTGTAGAAACATTCTCAAATAATAATAATAATTAATACATAAACAAATTTTTTAAATGTTTTGTGGAAGACTTTTAAGATGTTTCACTATTGAATTACAGCAATTTGCTATAAATTAAATGAATGGTTAATTGATTATGGCAAAGAACAGAAGGGCCATCTACAGACAAAAAATTTGAATTGGTAGAAGAAGTAATGCTTCAATGATACAACAATGCCATTGAATCAAAAATGTGTAAAGCATCAACAAGCTTTACAGGTGTAAAGACAGGCCTCGAAATTCATCTATGAATATGATTTAAAACCACCAGCAACATCTGAGAACCTGTTAGAGCACTATATTGATTGATTTTAAAATGTGAATTCTTTACATAATTAAATCTTATTCATGTTAGAAATATTTTTAAGTTTCCAGCTTTAAATTCGCTAAAAATTCATTTCATGACTTGTGAAGGTTATAAAAAAATTGCATAAAATAAATGATTGAATTACAAGCTCTCACTGGAACATTTTACTTTAAAATTATAACCCAGACTATTAATGAAATGAAGAACATTAAGATTATCTGCCTTACTTTTAAGAATCAATGGCTGCCCAAAATTTCTAAGACCAAACTTCATCAAATCCTTCAGTTTTTAGCATAATAATAATGATAGCCACAAAATAGGCAATCCTAAAAACCTCCTTCTGAAAAGAACAAAATTATAACCCAGACTATAAAAGAAACGAGGAACATTAAGACTATCTGCATTACTTTTAAGAATCGATGGCTGCCCAAAATTTCTAAAACCAAACTTCATCAAATCCTTCAATTTTAAACATAATAATAATGATAGGCCCAAAATAGACAATCCTAAAAACCTCCTTCTGAAAAGAACAAAATAGCATTTAACAGAAGCAATTCCAAATTTGCTCTTCTCTTAAAACCTAAATCTTACTCCGAAACAGTTAAAAACACTAACCCAAATAAAAATTTTATCGAATTCTTTTGCACAATGAGGGAGCTTGATCTTAAGAAAAACTTCTTGAGAAACATCTTTGGAAGCACTAAGTTATCCTAATTAACATTTCTCATTAATAACAACTTGCTGTAATTCTACTTATGCCTCAGTTTGATTACATTTCCAAACGCCCCTGCCAGCTGGGAGGTAAGAATCTCCTCCTTTGTGTTCACCTAAAACCAAGCAGTCAGAGTGACCACTGCAAAAAATTATTTAAGTGCTTTACACCTGACTACTCTCCATGGCTTTTACTAGATTTTTAATAATAATAATACATGTTACATCTATAAATTTATTTATGGAAATTTTAAATAAAAGCATATAGTATTACATTAGAAATAATAATATAATAGTAACCATTTATTACATATTTAAGTACGAAAATTATGAATTGTAGAACAAAAACTTTTTCTGTAAAATAAAAAAAAAATCGTATGCAAAGCCCACTGCAGAACAAAAATTTTGAGTATTAATAACAGCAAAACCTAGCAGACATGTTTTGTACTTCACTAGTATTTCAAGCAGTAAAAGGAATTTCACGAGCACCCTGAACATTTGCTTCACTACATAATGACTTCGATTTGAAAGTCACCGGAGGCGAGCCAGGGTGCTTTACATACAGTCTACGAAAGCTTGCCATCTTCTCCCATTCATATTCTTCGTCTACAGATGCTAGGGAAGCTTTCATGGAGGACTTGCTAAAAAAAACTGGCTCGAATTTACATTAATCATTCAGAAAAGATCATGCAGCTAGCACTTTTGATGTTATTTGAAACCAATTCAAATTACTAGTTTTTAGCAGTTTTATCTACTTGGCCATTAGTACAAATCAGGAATATGCATCATGTTTCCAATAACATTAAATAGCTAAACGATCTTTTCTTTTGAAATTTATACCCATTCGAAGAAAAATACTGTCTACATGTTTATAAAAGTAACCCACGATTTATTTCAAGAAAAACTGTCATATCATTTGTCTGCTGAATTAAGAAAATATAAAAATGTTTACAACACTTTAACCTATTTTCTAAATATTTTATATGTTAATTTCATACACTAAACTTGGTACACGAACTTAATTCGTTGCTGAAGCTCATTAATTCATCGCCCAAAACTCTCATAAATTAAACAATTTTTCCTATAGGTGTTAATCTGTTCCCAGATCACAAATAACTGCTTATAAAAGAGTACTGTATATGCAAGTTTGCAATACAAAAACAATGTAACTTCTTAAATCTAACCTACACACAATATTATCACATACACAGCGCAAACATAATAAATAAAATAGGAAAACTTATTTGAATTTTACCACATATGAGCAAAAGAAAGTTATCAGCTAAGTAGAAAACAGTGAAGAAAGGAAAAGCAAAATGTTATTGCTTGCAAGAGGAATCCTCTCTGATAAAAATATCAGGATATGTTAGCCCGCTGCTTAATGCTTCAAATTAAATTTTTCAATGGGTTAGTATTTAAAACTTTAAACATGGATGATTAATGAGTGCCAAACACCTCTTATGCTTCCTGCTATTATTATAAGACTCAGATCACTGCTAGCCAATTGCCCAAAACTGTTAATAATATTTATAATAATTTCATAATGGCATGAACAACTTCAATGAGTCTCTGGCATACTATTAGGAAAGGCAAATAATAAAGATAAATTCATAAAAAAAAACTAAACTAAAATGCAAAATTATACAAAAAAAAAAAAAAATCATATACCACACACATGTACAAATGTAAAAAAAGTGATTTTTTAGAACATTCATTAAGAAATCACTTCAGGAAAAAATATGTTTTAAACATATTTCAAAACACATTTTAGTAATTTGAATTTATTTGTTTGCTACATATGCACAAAAACAGGGTTTAAATTTTATGTAACCTTGAATTTACTTTTAAAGTTCATATGTATCTATTTTATTGTCAAATAAAACTGTTTATGTATCTTGAAGGAAAACTTTCACTGTGTAAAGATAAAAACATGAAAAAACTTAACACATTGTTATTACTTCAATATGAAATAAATTCTTTAAATTTATATAATTTACTGGCATGAAAACTTAACAGGAAGTGAATAAAAAGCTTTGCTTACTATGTTTATTACTTGAACTTTTATTGCTTTTTGAATTACGCAGCTGAATCCTGCTTCTATTATTTTCATAATCATCCAAAATACCTAAAGCATCATCCAAATTATGAGCATAAAAGGCTGACGTTGTGTTAGTTGCATTTTCACGTAATGCAAACATTTTGATTTCATCCTACAAAAGAAAAATCAGTCTTATACAAGATCATATGAAGGAAATGTGCATAAACTACACATTTAAAAAAAACCTGTAACTTTAGTATGCGTAAATAGGCCTCAAAAAACAGTAAAATTTAAAGTTTATATTGGATGTTTCAAAAGACTGCACAACTGATCTCTTGAATAGATAGTAGTAAACCAATGATCCTCATTTAAAAAATGAGTCTATCAATCAATGCTATGACAATCTTGGTCGTGTGATATCATTTAGTAAATATAAGAAAAATTTTAATTTTCATACAAGCCATTTGCATAGAAAATGCTAATTAAGAAACTGTTTCTCATCCTTTTACTGATCTTTTTGGAAGGAAATTGACTCCTAGTGACTTAAACATCACAATGTCTGCAAATGTTTTATACCCTAAACTGTTTTGTATGAAGTTTCCTCTTCTTTCCCAAGCATGCAAACCTCGACATTTTTCTGTTACAACTGACAGCTTTTCCCAATTTTGCTTTTTATTACTCATAATTCTTGTTTTCGATTGTTAATATTCTTTCCATATTCCCTTTTGGTTGTTTATTGTGTTAAATTTCATGTCTTTTCTGAAAAGGCACCCTCTGGTGGACATTTTGGAACAAAAAATTTTTTTCCGAAATCCATGAGCACATCTCATGTATAGCCCATATACAAAATTTCGTTGCATTCCGTTCACTCGTTTCAGCTGTAGAATGACGTTCATAAAGGAAGCTTAATTATAACCACCTGGTATATATATATATACATAGGCGACTTGAAATATGTCCAAGAAATTTTGCAACTTAATAAAACCACATAAATTCAGGTATAGAGCTGTGATAGCATTTGCCATTAAAACCAAGAAAATATATCCTTCTTATGGCAGTTTTGGGAAATTTGGGCTTTCTTAGCAAACGCCATGCTTGTTGGAAGATTAAATAACCAACCAAACATAGAAATATGCAAGGAAACTTTATTTCAGTTTGAGACATTGTTTTCCACACAAAAAATGCATCTAAAAACAGCTTATGGAGAACAAAAAAAAAAATAAATAAATAAATAAACCAAAATTCCCCTTACCACACACAAAATATCACACATACCTAAACTCCTCTTAGAGCAAAAATTAAAATCATTGAGCAGTAAGATAGCGCAACAAACTCTGACAGATTGACTCTCAATTGGCTAACAGCTCTTGACAACCTTCTATTCATACCATTGCGCAAGAAGGTGGGAAGATTTTTCTGGAACCCTCTAGGAAAATTCATATCTCAGGTATTGAAAAGTGTTTTCTAAAAATTTATCCAAATTATGAGCAAATACTCAGCAAAAAGATATTTTTGGTTCTCCTTAAGCCATTTCCAAAATTCCAGTGGCAGCCTAGTGAAAATTAAAAAGCACTACAAAACATCTGAATTAAACACAAGCACAGTAAGTAGCCAAAACTCGACACATACAATAAATAAACACATCTTTACATGGCAATAAATATCATATTTACTGGCGTATAAGACACACTCTTTTTTTATACACATTTCTGAAGGATAAAACTTTGTCACTGAATTTACAGTATTTTAAATAAAAAGTAATACAAAGTAATACTGTGAGCAAATACCCAATCCATACGAGAAACACCTTTTAATCTTCTTCATCAAATCCCAGACACTCATCTCCAGAGCTAAGTGATGAGTCACTTGAAACCTCTAGTAAATTAGTAAATCAGTATCCGAGTCCTCATACAACAAATAGTCCTCCATATCGTCCAGTACATTATTAATGCCACACTTCTTAAATGATTTAACCACTGTCTCTGTTTTCCTAGCATCCCATGAAGCTTTGACCCATTTACAAACTTGCAAAATGCTAACCGCGAATAAACTGAATATCGACATATAACACGCACCCCATTTTTCAGACCTATTTTCAAAGAAAAAAGTGTGTCCTATACGCCGGAGAAAACGGTAAATAAGTATACACACATAATGAACAGAAAAATTCAAACCTAGCACAAATAATAACATAAATTATAACACTACAATTAAAGTAATAACATGAATTTAAAGAAATAGGCTTTCTATGCTTTTTTCATAAAAATAATTTCTTTGGATAGTGAAGTCAAATAAATGGTTTATTATTCATACTGAGACTAAGTTAAAAGTATCAAACAAAGAACTTAGAAACTTCATTACCAGAAATAACTTTGCAGATACATTTATGTAAGTAAGTTCAGGAATTCCAAATGACAACAAATATGACTGGGTGAGAAGTTGGACATACTGCAAAAAAAAAAAAAAAAAAAAAAAAAAAAAATTACTTGTTAATGAACATTACCTCCTATACAGTTTTGTAAAATAAGCACTAAATTTGAGGCAAAAACTCAAAAACTTTCTGATTTTATATTATGCCCAAAAGAGTGTTTTGCTCATTTACACGCACATACATGTTTCAAGAGCATTTGGGACAATGCCCCTCTGGGTTAAAATATTTAAAATCAACATATTGTTAGAATTTCTGAGACATGCAGATAAAAATGTTTAATTTTCTATAATGTTACAACTGCTTGCTTTGAAATTTTTTAGTTTTAAATCAAAAATTTGTTAAAAGTTTTACAAAATATGAAATAGATAATAGAACAAATTTGAAATTTGGGCTTCCAGGTGCCCATATTCAGGTGCAGGACTGTGTTATTCAAAATTTGATGGATCTGGATACCATTGTTTTTTCACAATGTGAGAAAAATACTTACATTCATGCAGATTCTTCATTATTTAACTTCCTTAACTATATTACAGAGCGATAATATTTGGTGGCAACAACTTAAAATGTAATTCAACACTTTTAGTGATTTGATGCAAAATGTCGTTTTGAGATTCCGAGCTAATGTCCCTTTGGGCTAAAAAACACTGAATGCAGTTTCTGATGTTTCTATATATTCAATGTACTAAAATTTCATTTTAGATAAGGATATAAAATGCTTCTGTTTTCTAGCTTTTTAATGCCATCTTAGCTGATCAGATCATTTTTTGCAACTATCAGATCAGTTTCCTTAATTATTGATATACTAGCGGTATGATGATCTGGTAGCTAGTTAAGTATTAAAATGATCTGGTAGCTAAGTATTTGTACCATTTTTCTCTTCCAAAGATAAACTTTTTGTGTCTGAAACTAGCCTTAAGGTCTTTCTTACCCCCTTACACCAGCTGTGAAGGCCTATTTACAAGTTCTATTCAAATCAACTTGAACCGCTTACTTGTCACACTCAAGGATGCTGAATAACAATTCCCCAATGAGGACCATAAGACACAAAGACTAGTCTATCACTTAGAGCAGATATTTTTCACTTTGACCTCACTTCTTATATATTGCAATCTATTATAGTGTAAATGCAATTTTTAATTGTCAAGTAAAAGCTTTGTTCATTAAAGTGAAAATAAGTGTATTAGCTTATATTGCCTATTTGAAATATCCTTGAATTTTGTTTTATTATTTTCTTGATTCACTGTAACAAAAATAATAATTGAATTATTTCCCGCATATTTTTATATATTTAATTAAAAATTCGTTTTCTTTTTGTGAAATAAATCTTTCTTTAGCTTAAATATTTATGGTTAATATTTCAAATTGCAATTATTTAATTTATAGTTTAAGCCTTGGCTATGAGAAATTAAATTTGGAACATTAGGTTGCTGAGTTTGCAAACAGTAACTATACCAACTGACAAAAATTAGAGGAGAATCACAAAATTATAATAATTAAAAATTTATGCAGTAGAATCATACCCAAGAGAGCTACAATACCACCAGTGATTTTCTTTCATTTTGCTGTTCACAGCTTGTATACATTTTTGTATATAAAAAGGGGAATTTTCGACAAATAAGATCTTCTTTCTTGCTGAAGCCTTGTACTTTTCAGCAAAGAAAGTTTTAGTTATGCGAATATAAGAATAGGAATTGAGAGATTGCATTAAAAGTTAGATTTCATCATCTGTAAAAAATCAGTTATTTACAAAAAAAAAATTAATTTAATCAAAATATGAATATTTTTGTTATTTAAAACATTTCTGTAATTAGAAGTATACGACATACAAATTCAAAAATATGAAAAGCAGCTAACTGGTAAAGCAAAGTACAACTCTAGAGTACGTTCAACTTTTGAAAACTGAAGAAAAAAGGAGTATGCTGTAAATAATTATTTCAGAAACTTATATCAGAGTGAATAATGGATAAGTGAAATCATATTTGTCGAAAATTCCCCTTTTTATGCACAAAAAATGTATACAAGCTGTGAACAGCAAAATGAAAGAAAATCACTGGTGGTATTGTAGCTCTCTTGAGTCTTTCTTAGACTGCTGCAGTATCTTAGACCCATATCTTAGTAGCCAAGACTCTACAAAAACAAATATGTTTGGGGGTTGAAAAGGTTTAAGAAAGTTTGATGATATTTGTTTTGAAGTCATAATGATATTTGATTAATTGTTGATAAATACAAATTAATGCAATACATAAAGCTGAAATTTATTAAATAAAAGATAATATAATATAAAAAGCTTAAATTTATTAAATGAAGATATTTTTAAATAATAATATAACTTTCCTTTACATTTTTGAGGTATATGCACAGTATAAAATATATAGCAAATTATTTTCAGAATAAATGCTCATAGAAAATTAATATGAAAGTGAAAAATAAATGCAATTAAATAATTAAACACAGAGTAAATAAAACAAATCTGAAAAGCTTCAGACTTTGACAGTCACCCAAAAGGTTTTTTTTCAAAGGTTTTTTTTATGCTCTCACTGAGCTTGCAATCTGGCTGCTACTTCACTTACTCCTACTAATACCCTCTCTGTCAAAATCGAATGTACCTATTTTGAACAGCCGATTGAAAACAGTTTTAGTGCTACGAAAGCAATATTGGCCACATGTGGGAGCTGAATTCGTAGAGTTTGGCAGCAATGTTTTTTTCTCGCATCTGACGCACCTGCGGTTTCTGAGCTGACAAATGTAAAAGTGGCATCACCGTAAGAAAAGGCACAAATTGCTCTCTGGCATGCAAAACACAAATACATAATAAAAGTGCAAAGAATGATTCAAAAAGTTTATAAAAGAAATCCACCCCAGGCTAAGGGCATAAAAAAGTGGCACAAAACGTTTCTCGAAATGGGAAGTGTATGGAAAAGATCCAGGGGTGATCGCCATTCACATTCTGATTCACATGTGGAAGATGTTCAAGATTTTCTTCGGAGCCCTCGTCAGTCAATCAGGCAGACAGCTTCTGAATTATCTATGTCACGATCAACTCTTCATGATGTGCTGCATTGAAAACTGAGGATACTTGCATATAAAATGCAGATTGTGCATAAACTGTAACCAAATGATGGGCCGCAGCATGCAGCATTTGCTATGGAAATGTTACCTCACATCGAAAATGAACACAATTTTCTAAACCGCATCTTTTTTTCCAGATGGAGCTACATTTCATGTTAGCAACAACATTAATAAGCACAACTGCAGAATTTGGGCTCAGAAAATTCCCATTCACTACACAAATTGGAACAGAGCAGCCCAAAAATCGATGTCTGGTGTGCTCTATCACATGATACAGTCATAGGAGCATTTTTCTTTGCTGAGATGTCTGTGACGGCAAACAATTACCAGGATATGTTACAAATTTACGCAATACCCCAAATGCAGACTTACAATCCACTGTTATTTTCCAGCAAGTTGCGGGCCCCTCCTCACTCGGGCAAGTATGTTTGCGCATTTTTAGATACAATTTTCCCTAACCGATGGATAGGACGCAGTAGCCCAATTGCCTGGCCACCAAGATCTCCCGACATGACACCGTTCAATTTCTTCTTTTGGGGCTACATGTAAGACAAAGTCTACTCAGGGAACATCTGTGATATTGAAGACCTTCATACCTCCATAACTGCGGCTATTGCTACTGTGACTCCAGAAACGCTACACCGGACATGGCTGGACATTCTCAGGGTTACTAATAGAGCTCACGTGGAATTGATTGCTTAATAAAAACTTTGTGAGTATTGGTATCTAATTTTACAGTTTTCTTGCGCTTTTAAACTCTGTTAAGTAGAGTTATGTTCAAATTTGAATTGACATTTGATTTGGAACATAGAATTCCTGATACCATATTAAATGTTGGCATACATAGCACAGCCTATTAAACTATACATATTTTTTGCTGTATTTCAATTAAATTTATTTCATGAAATTATTCTAACTTAACTAACCCATTCCTCGAGGCTAGCTGAAAATGACACCAAAAGCTGCAAATTTTCAAATTAAATATCCCACACAATTTTTGTTGAATGAAAGTCAAACTTGTAATTTCCCCCCCCCCATGACGAGTATAAAAATTTCTTAATATAAGTAAAGGAAGTGAGAGATTGCACTAAAAAAGTTAAATTTCGTTGTCAGAAAAAAAATACTTCTTATAATTTTATTTTTTCATAACGAGTATAAATTCCAAAATGTAAGAACAGGATCAGGGAGATCACATTAAAAGTTAGATTTCGTAATTTAAAAAAAAAAGTATTTTTCTTTCTAAATTTCACATTGCCAAAACATGAACATTTTTGTCATTTAAAACACTTCAGTATTGGAAGTATATGACTATGACCAATGGTTTCGAATATAAAGAGAGGTTACGGACTTTTAAACCTAGTAAGGCTATGGGTATACAATTGCTATAGCTGACTGCAGTAAAAAGGAGAGGTGAACAGTTAGATGTTATAGCAGTCGAATGTACCAAATTTCAAACTTCAATGTCTAATTGTTTTTGAATTATCTGAGATACATATGTACATACCTAACCAAAAAAAAAAAAAAAACTTCTGAATCCATTTAAATTTATTTTACAACCCTTTAAAAAAAATGAGTTCTTTCTTCCTGTTCATATGTACAGATGTCATACAAAAAATTTGACTAAATGGGTTCTGGAGTTGTCAAAATGGATATTTTCTTTGAAACATTATACCCAAAATTTTTGCGATTGCAATAGTTCCTTTAGTACAAGTAAGTAAAAGTAGTAAAATAACATGAAAAAAAGTGAGTACTCAAAAGTGAAATAGAAACTCTTCATTCAAACAGTAAAACTAAGAAATTCTTTAAAAAAGTTGAAATTAATATAGAAAAATCTTTATTTATATTGCATTTATCATGAGGGTGTAGTTTAGGCTGCTGAATATAACAAAGTATACAGGTGTTTGCCTGAGAGGAGAGGCGACTTCGTATTTTCTAATAGAGACTGGCT